TTTTGGTTTGGTTTGGTTTGGTTTGGTTTGGTTTGGTTTACGGCATATCAACCTCAATGGGTTATTTAATGCCGACAAAATTTTTATTGCTGGTAATAATATTTTGTTTTGTCAAAAATCTATTTCTGGTAATATTTTTTTCCAAAAATGTATTGCTAGTAATATTTATTTTTTAAAAACATTGTTGGTAATATTTTTTTTCTAAAATGTATTCCTGGTAATAGATTTTTGTTCCTTCAAAAATTTATTGCTGGAAATAATTTTTTTACATAGTATTTCTGGTATTAAAACCTATTTTTACACAGTATTTTTGCCCCAGTTTCGGGGTTAACTATTTGCCCATAGCTGGGACCCTAACAGGTGCAACCACCCCGGGTCAGGGAGGACCTGGGAACACCAGCAATTAAGAGGTGGTTCCACGCTCCTCAAAACCTCCTGATCAGAGGCCTTGCTGTTGGACGTAGTTTATCGTCTTACCCAGGAGGGAGAGTTGATTGGGAAGCAGGAAGCCAGAAGAGAGTTACACAAGTGAGACGTGCGATAGACGAAATTGTTAGCAAATAATTTACGGTTACATCTGGTCATTTCAGTGATAAAATGATGAGGTGCTATTATCGTCTGATATCTCCCGAGCCATTTGCGACCTACCTGCACTCATTATTGCTGGAATATGTTCAGGAGAAACAATGACCTGTTTACTGTTTGGTGCTCATATAACATATATATTCCACTTACCTAACATTGATTTGCCATAATGATTCGTAAGGAGGAAAGAGAACTAATCAAAACAAGAAAGAAAGAAAGAAAGAAAGAAAGAAAAAGAAAGGAAGAAATCAAAACGGAAGAAAAAAAAGAAAATTAAATAGAGAGAATAAAAATACAAAAAGAAAATAAGAAGCAAAGAGAGAAATCAAAAATATAAATAGAGCAAAAAGAAAGAAAGAAAGAAAATAAAAAAGAAAGAAAGAAAAGAACAGAAAAGGTAGGAAAAGACACAAAGAAATAAACGATATGAAAAAAAAAAAAAAGGTGATAAATAAACAAAACAAGCAACAAAGAAAAGTGAGAAAAAAGAAGAAGAAAGAAACGGAGGCGAAAGAAAAGAAGGAAAACGTATATAAAAAAAATATAGGATATATATTCCACTTACCTAAGAATGATTTGCCACAAAGGAAAGGGAACTAAGCAAAACAAGAAAGAAAGAAAGAAAGAAAGAAAGAAAGAAAGAAAGAAAGAAAAAAGAAAGGAAGATATCAAAACGGAAGAAAAAAAAGGAAAATTAAATACAGAGAATAAAAATACAAAAAGAAAATAATAAGGAAAGAGAGAAATAAAAAAAAACATATAAATAGAGCAAAAAGAAAGAAAGAAAATAAAAAAGAAAGAAAGAAAAGAACAGAAAAGGAAGGAAAAGGTACAAAGAAATAAACGATATGAAAAGAAAAAAAGGTGATAAATAAACAAAACAAACAACAAAGAAAAATGAGAAAAAAAGAAAGAAACGGAGGCGAAAGAAAAGAAAGAAAACATATAAAAAACAAACAAACAAAAAAAGAAATCAAAGAGAAAGAAAGAAAGAAAGTAAATAAAAAGAAAGAAAAAAGAAAGAAAAACAAAAAGAAAGAAAGAAAGAAAGCCGCCCACATTTGAAAAAGCCAAGCGGTTAGTTCGAAATACAAGAATAAAAAAGTTAAAAAAGAAGAGAAAAAAATCAAAATTGATTTGATTTTTGTTTTAAGGCATATCAAATCCAATGCTTTATTTAATACCGAGAAGATGTTTATTCTATCTTTTCTTTTTATACGCCATGTCCATTCAGGACGTAGGCGGTCATGGCTCTCCACCTCCTTCTATCCCTTGCAGCTCCCAACAATTTCCTTCCCTCTACCTCCTCTCCCAGACCATGTTCTGTCATCCACTTGCTTAAGTTCGCCAGGTATGACGCGCGTTGTTTTCCCTTGTCTCTCTTTCCCTCTATTCGACCCGTGAGTATCAGATTCTCCAGGCCCTCCTTCCTTATTATGCGTCCGAGAAACTTCAGCTACCTCTTCCTGATATTAAGTATAAGCCTCCTCCTTGTTTGCAACCTCTCTAAGATCTAATCGCTTGCTCACACACTCGGTCCAGGATATCCTTAGCATCCTCCTGTAGAAACATATCTCCATTGTCTTGAGTCTCTTCTTCATCTTTGAGGAAATTGTCCAACATTCGCTGCCGTAAAGAAGAACAGATGTCTCGTAACAGTTCAGTATTCTTTTCTTTGTTACCAAAGAAATCCTCCTGTCTCGCAGTACTCTGTCCAGCTTTAGGAATGTGTCCTTGGCCATCCCAATATGTTTGATCCATAATATTCTTAGCATCCTTCTGTAGAACCATATCTCCGTCGCCTCGAGTCTCTTCTTCATCTTTGAGGAAATCGTCCAACATTCGCTACCCTAAAGAAGGACATATTTTTATTGCTGGTAATATATTTGTTTTTTAAATGTATTGCTGATAATATTTTTTTCCAAAACTTTATTGATTGTATTTTACTATTACTATGGTATTTTACTATTTTCCCATAGCTGGGACCCTAACAGGTGCTACCACCCCGGGTCAGGGTGGACCTGGGAACACCATCAATTAAGAGGTGGTTCCATGCTCCTCAAAACCTGATCAGAGGTCTTGCTACTGGATGTAGTTTATCGTCATATCCAGGACCGAAAGCAAAATTAAAAAAGAAGGAAAGAAGAAACTATATAAAAAAGAGATCAAATAGAAAGAAAATAAAATAAAGAAAGGAACTACATCAATAGAAAGAGACGTGAGAGAAGGAAGAAGAAAAAAGAAAAAGAAAACAAAGGTGAATGAGAACAAAGAAAATTAAATAAATAAAGAAAGAAATAAAGAAAGAAAGAAAGAAAGTAAAAACTCGATTGAAAAATGACAAGAGATGAATTCGAAAGTAAGACAAAAACAAAGGAAGAAAAGAAAGAGGAAGAGGAAAAAGAAAGCAAAGAAGGAGAAAAAGCAACCTTAAAAATGAAGGAAAGAAAGAAAGTATATAAGAAAGAAAGCAAATTGAGGCGAATTAAAAATCGTATCAAAAGAAAGAAAGAGACCAAAATAGAAAGAAAAAGGGAAAGAAAGAAAGAAACTACAACAATAGAAAGATACAAAAAAGAAAAGAAATAAAACGAGACCAAAGAAGAGAAAAAGGAAAATTAAGAAAAAAAAAAAAAAGAAAAAAGAGAGACTAAAGCAAATAAGAGAAAGAAAGAAAATATACTAAATGCCCATTTTTTATTCTTTGACTTCGGTTTTGTCTTTCTTTTTTTTTTAATTTCTTTTTTTTGTTTTTTTTTAACTTTCTTTTTACACAGACGATTTTCTGTTAGTCAATATTTTTACATTTCTGGTTTTAGCCTTCCTTCCTTCTTCGTTTTTCCGGTTTTCCTTCCTTCCTTTCTTTTCCTTCCCTTCCCTCCCTCCCTCCTTCTTCCTTCCTTCCTTTAATCCCCTTCCTTCCTTCCTTCGCTCCCCCTTCCTTCCTTCTTTCCTTCCTTCCTTCCTTCCTTCCTTCCTTCCTTCCTTCCTTTCAACATTTCCCCTTCCTTCCTTCCCCCCTTCCTTCCCTTCCTTCAATCCCCTTTCTTCCCTCATTCCTTCCTCTTTTCCTCTTCCCCTTCCTTCCTTCCTTCCTTCCTTCCCCTCTTCCTTCCCCTTCACCCTTCCTTCCTTCTTCCTTCCTTCCTTCTACCTTCCTTCCTTCCTTCCTTCCTTCCTTCCTTCCTTTAATCCCTTCAACTTCCTTCCCTCATTTCCTTCCTTCCTTCCTTTCTTCCTTTCCTTCCTTCTTTTCCTTTCCTCCTCCACCCTCCTCCTTCCTTCCTTCCCTTTCAACATTTCCTTCCTTCCTTCCTTCCTTCCTTCCCTCCTTTTCTTCCCTCATTCCTTCCTTCTTCTCCTTTCCCACCCTTCCTTCCTTCCTTCCTTCCTTCCTTCCTTCCTTCCTTCAATCCCCTTCAATTTCTTCCCTCATTCCCTTCCTTCCTTCTTTTCCTTCCTTCCTTCCTTCCTCCCTTCAATCCTTCCCTCCCACCTTCCTTTCCCTTCCTTCCTTCCTTCCTTCCTTCCTTCCTTCCTTCCTTCCTTCCTTCAATCCCCCTTTCTTCCCTCATTCCTTCCTTTCCTCTTTTCCTCCACTCTCCCAATCCTTCCCACCTTCCTCCCTTCCTTCTTCCTTCCCTTCAACATTTCTTCCTTCCTTTCCCCTCATTCTTCCTTCTTCCCTCCTTCCTCCCTTCCTTCTTCCTTCTTCCTTCCTTCCTTCCTTTCCCTTCCTTCCTTCCTTCCTTCCTTCCTTCAATCCCCTTCAACCTTCCTTCCTTCCTTCCTTCCCCTTCCTTCTTCCAATCCCCCCTTCCCTTTCCTTCCTTCCTTCCTCTTTTCCTTTCCTTCCTTCCTTCCTTCCTTCCTTCTTCCTTCCTTTCTTCCTTCAATCCCCTTCCTTCCTTCCTTCCTTCCTTCTTTCCTCTTCCCTCCCACCCTTCCTTCCTTTCCTCTTTCCTTCCTCCCACCCTTCCTCCCACCCTTCCTTCCTTCCTTCCTTCCTTCCCTTCCTTCCTTCCTTCCTTCCACTCTCTTTGTGTTCTCTCTCTCTCTCTCTATCCTCCATTCCGAAAGGGAAAGAAAGAGATTGCCTATCGATTAATCCTGACGGCCTTCATGGAAGCCGGTTTCCCTGACTAACCTCACCTCTCTTGTTTTCTTCATTTCTCGCAGACAAACAGCAAATAATTTTGTGAACAGAACAATCTGTTTTCATTGGTTTTTTGTCTTTGATCGAGAAAATTGATACTATAATCATTACATGCTACCACTTGGGTTGCCTTGCGTCTCATCTTACCAAGTGAAGAAACTGATCGATTAACTTCTTCTTCTTCTTCTTCTTCTTTGCCGTCGTCGTTGATGATTTAAAATTAGTAGCGGTATTAATAAAAGTGACAGTCTCAGTCACATTAACGAGAAATGTCTATATTTCTGAGAAGAAGAAGAAGAAGAAGAAGAAGAAAAGAAGAAGAAGAGTAAGCAATTAGTGGTAGAGAAGATGAAAGTGACATTGGGTGCAGCAAAGAAGAAAAGGAAGAAGGTAACGATGAAGAATAAGCAATTACAGGAAGGGAAGAATAAAAGATATTGAAGAAGAAGAAGAAGAAGAAGAAGAAGAAGAAGAAGAAGAAGAAGAAGAAGAAGAATCTTAAGTGAAAGAAGAAGAAAAAATAGAACAAAAGAAGAAATGTGGTGAGAAAAGAATAATAAAGAAGAAAAAACTAAATGAAAAAAGAATTTTTCTTCTTCGTTGTCCCCGTCGTTCATTTAAAATTAGTAGCTGTATTAATAGAAGTAAGAGTATTAGTGATATTAGCGAGAAACGTTTATATTTAGAAGAAGAAGAAGAAGAAGAAGAAGAAGAAGAAGAAGAAGAAGTCAATAGATCTTCTTCTTGGTTTTCTTCGTCGTTCTCGTTGTTGATTTAAAATTAGTAGCCGTATTAATAGTCAAAGCGACAGTATTAGTAATTTTAGCGCGAAAAGTCTTTCTTTCTGAGATGAGGTATTGTAACTATTTCCACTATTTACATTATTCGGACTGCTGTCCTCATTTTTATTGTCATATTCACGACGTTTCGGCCGTTGTACGTTCTGGCCTTCTTCAGGTGATATACGTAAGAATTTCGAACCGAACCCTTTATATAGTCGACGGAGCTAGATTGTTCTAGATCCACGTGCCATGCCTTCTCTGGATATCTCAGGTTTCAGATAATTCTTCTTAGTAACTCAACTCTCAAAGTTGTGTCAAGGGCACATGATCCAGTGGGCAAAAGCAGCTTTTGAAGTAAGTGACCCAAAAATGTTGGCCACAGCAGAGGTCAGCAAAAAACTTGGAGAATTTAGTTGCTAAAGGATATTAATTTAATTTAAAATTAATTTTGTTGTTCACATCTACTGTGACCAACACTTTGGGCTAAGCGACTTTTCTTTTACTTCAACCAACGCTTTTATTCATAGATCCCTTTTTTCTTGGGAACAACTTGGAGAGTTCTTGAACTCTTTTGTGAGCCGTGTCCCTTCAGGACGTAGACGATCATGGCTCTCCACTTCTCCCTCTATCCCTTGTAGCTCTCACTAAGTTCCTTCCCTCTGCTTCGTCCCCCAGCCCACGTTCTGTCATCCACTTGCTTAAGTCCGCCAGGTATGTTCACGCTTTGTTTTCCCTTGTCTCTCTTTCTCGCTATTCGACCTGTGAGTATCAGATTCTCCAGGCCTTCCTTCCTCATTATGTGTCTATTATGGGGTCCACCCTTTTCGGATATAATGGACTCGTCCTGCTGACATAAAAATAGCCACGGTCAAGCAGAGAATTGAGTCGTACCGAGTCGTCTGTGAGGGTCGGATGGAGTGAAGTAACCTCTTGTAGAAGTCAGTTACAAGCACGTAGACTCTAAGGAAGTCCTACTTCGAGACTGTATATATCTATCTGTATTTGCTACTAACCGTGTTCCTGGATTTTACTAACAGCATTACCTTTTGTATTTTGTGTAAATACATTTAATTTCATAGCTTAAATACTTGCGTTTGTCATTTATTGGATACCTATTTTTCACGCGGGATCCACAACAGTGTCCCAGAAACTTCAGCTGTCTCTTTCTGATGTGGTTATTCAAAAAGATGCATTTTTACGCTCATATTGCAACTTTTTATAACCCCTTGCAATTTTTTAACGATTTCCTCATAGTTATCTGTTTTATAATTGCCAAAGATTTTTTTTTCTATCAAATCCACGAACCAGGCATTTTTTTTGCGTTCATTCATGACATTAGGAAAATTACTGTCTTTAATTAATGTTCTTATTTGTGAAAGTTGAAAATTTCTGCCTTGCTTTAAATAGGAACTTATTATGAAACAGGTATTCAGAATCTATTAAATTAAACTAGAAACACGGATGTGTAGGTATAATATAAATTAAATCTAATTAAATCATCTTTTAAATCTTCTTTCTTTTTGTGCCGTGTCCCTTCAGGACGTAGGCGATCATGGCTCTCTCCCTATCCCTTGTAGCTCTCATTAAATTTCCTCCCTCTGTCACCTCCCCCCAGACCACGTTTTGTCATCCACTTGCTTAAGCCCGCCAGATATGTCAAGCGTTGCTTTCCCTTGTCCCGCTTCACCTCTATTCGACACGTGAGTATCAGATTCTCCAGGCCCTCCTTTCTCATTACGTGACCCAGAAACTTCAGCTGCTTCTTCCTGATGTTAAGTATAAGCTTCCTCCTTGTTTGCCTCCTCTCCAAGATCTCATCGATGCTTACACGCTCGGTCCATGATATCCTTAGCATCCTTCTGTAGAACCATACTTCCGTTTTCTTGAGTCTCTTCTCCATCTTTGAGGAGACCGCCCAAAATTCGCTGTCGTAAAGGAAGACAGATTTCACGTCGCAGTTCAGTACTCTTTTGTTTGTTACCAATGAAATCCTCCTGTCTCGCAATCCTCTACCTAGCTTTTGGAATGCGTCTTTGGCCATCCCAATACGTCTTCGGATCTCAGCGTCGCAATTACCGTCCTCTGTCAAAACACTTCCCAGGTTACTAAAGGGAATTAACTGTAATCTAAGATATCCAGAAAGGCCATGGAACTTGGGGGCTTGAACCTTCTACCCACAGTGGACTAGATAAAAGGTTCGGTTCTTATTAGATTTGTTGTAAATTCTCGGTTTTTCATTATTTTTGTTGTCAATTTTCAAGAACAGCAAAAAAAAAAATGTACAAATTTACTTTCATATGTTTAGGTTTTATTTTCAACTAGCAGTACAGCCCGGCGTTGCCCGGGGATATAACAGTAAGAGATAGATCAAATATCCACCATCATAAAGACTGAAAAATAAAATTGACAAAGATTATCATTTAAGGTTGACGGACACGCATGTCTTAATTAGTTTTTTTTTTTTTTTTTTTTTTTTACGAATTGGTCAAACCCAAAACTCAAACAAAATATTGTTTTCAATCGTTATGAGTCTCTACCGATTGAATAGAATTTTATTATAAACAATTGTCTTGTAAAATGGAATTTTTAAAGCATTCTGAATGTAAAAATAAAGAAAAAAGTGTGCAGAGAATAAGAAACACTACCTGCCCCCCAAGTGAAGTTTTGTTTTATCGGCTGAAAATATAGAAATCCGCTCCCATATTTAAAGGAACACACACACAAAACAACCCGATGTGAGTTGTCCCCTTCCATTTTCACGATGTCTCTTAATCGTGTTTTCAAATTGATTTTGTGCTAAAACAATTATATTTTTCCCATTTTTGGCACTGTTAGAACCACCAAAAGGTAATTTTATGTAGTCCTGTGAAGTTTTGTTGAAATCGGTTGAAAATGTAGGAAATCCGATCCAATATATAAACAGACACACACACACACACACACACACACACACACACACACACACACACGCACACGCACACACACACACAATCTGCGTTTTATAATAAGTAAGATTCTAATCATCGCTTTTTCAAACAATAAGCATCGCTGAAGGTCGAAGGTAGTAACATGGGAAAAAAGCTCGTTTGATACTACGTCTTGCGAGCTTTTTCTCGACGTTTACCCTAATTTTGATCATATTAATCCAGGGTCCACCAATATCTATACTACTCGTTCCCATAAAGTCGTCTTACCCCAACTCCTTTATAATCTCATTCATTAATATTTTATCTTGAGATGAACTAGCAATAAATAAAAATACATTTCATACGTTAAATAAAACAATTATTATGGGCCAGAGGTAGAATTTAACAACGTCTATCCCATGATAGTTGTAGAATGAAAAAAGAAGTAGAATTTAACAACGTCTATCCCATAATAGTTGTAAAATTTTAAAAGACGTAGAATTTAACAACGTCTCTCCCATAATAGTTCTAGAATGATAAAAGACGTAGAATTTAACTACGTCTATCCCATAATAATTCTAGAATGATAAAAGAGGTAGAATTGAACACCTATCCCATAATAGTTATAGAGTGATAAAAGACGTAGAATTTAACAACGTCTCTCCCATAATAGTTCTAGAATGATAAAAGACGTTGAATTTAAAAACGTCTATCCCATAATAATTCTAGAATGATAAAAGGGGTAGAATTTACCAACGTCTATCCCATAATAGTTGTAGAATGATAAAAGAGGTTGAATTCAACAACGTCTACCCCATAATAGGTGTTACATTTGCATAGACATTTAATTCACTAAATGTAACAATTGTTAACAGTTAAAATGGTGGAATAAAGTTTAAATAAAACAGTGGAATTTAAAAATGGACAAGGAAGTTGTACTTACTTAAATAATTGGATTTACTTTTCCACAAAATGTTAATAAGCATTGTAGCAGAGAGGGGGGACTCACAATAAATATATAGAAGGTGGGGAGAAAAGGGGCGAAATGAATAATTTAATAGATAGGCGATGGGGGGAACAAAGCAAAAAAAATTGCATACTTTTTATAGAGAAAATTACAATGAAGATAGTAGATAGATATGAACAAACGGAGATAAATAGATAGGGTAATGAACAGGCTGAGATAGATAGATAGATAGATAGATAGATAGATAGATAGATAGATAGATAGATAGATAGATAGATAGATATGAAGAAATGGAGAGTGATATGAACAGAGAGAGAAACTTATAGATAGCTATATAAGTATTGATCTATCTATCTATCATTCATCTATCTATCTATCTTCATTCGTTCATTCTATCTATCTCGTTCATATCTAGACAGATATGAACAAACTGATAGATAGATAGATATGAAACAAACTGATAGATAGATAGATAGATAGATAGATAGATAGATAGATAGGTATGAATAAACTGTAATATATATATATATATATATATATATATATATATATATATATATATATATATATATATATATAGATAGATAGATTGATTGATTGACGTAGATTATGGATTATCATCACTTCTTGTCTTATTTAAAGCCGAAATAACTTGCCTTGTGAGAATTTTTATTTTTTTAAATTTTTTGCTAAATGTTTTGGAAAATAACAATATGTTTTTACCTAGATATTTAAACAATAGATACTGCAGTTGGATTCATACCTTTTCCAAGGGGTATTTTCATGTGAGTGAATGCAAACGCGTTCGAACTCGGCTCTCCATTTTCGAGTCGCTATTCATTATACCACCCGCACATCCCATTAATAGAAAAAAATGCCCGTGTGAAAAGAATACGTTTGGAGAATACGTCACTAGGGTCAAAGAATATAGAGAGACAGAAGTGAAGAGAGAGTGAGTTCGCGAGAGGAAAGTGAGAGAGTTAAAATGAGTCGAAGTAAAGGAAAAATAACAAAGCAGTGAGAGAGAGAGAGAGAGAGAGAGAGAGAGAGAAATAAGAAAGAGATGAAGAAGGAAATGTAAATAAAACAGAAAACGAAGAACTTTGTCGTGGATCATGGAAAGACTAGCGGGGTGGGGGAGGAGAAGTTGAGTGTGAAAAGAGAAAGAGACAGAGAGATAGAGAGACAAACATTAAAGTAAGATAGATAGATAGAGAGAGAGAGAGAGAGAGAGAGGGCGTAAGAAACGAGAAACGTGAGATCCTCAAAGAAAACCTGAAAGACCATTAAAGGATAAAATAGAAAGAGAGAGAGAGAGAGAGAGAGAGAGAGAGAGAGAGAGAGAGAGAGAGAGAGAGAAAGAAAAAATGAGAGAATAAGAGAAATACAGAGAGCAATAGACGTTGTGGGGGGGGTAGAATTTAGTGAAAAGTTAAATCGGAACTTCCCGACAGAGAATAAAGAAAAGAAAAAAAAAGAAAGAAAGAAGGAAGAACTCGTAGAACGGTGCCTGCTGTGAGTCGTTAGTTCTTTCTGCCACAATGGCACGGCATGGAGCTTTGCCGGCGGGAAAAACAGAAGATGCCATTACAAGGAAGCACAGCAAAAATGCCCGGCTAACATATGTTCCCACCGCAATCTTTGACAGGTTTTTGAATTGAAAGCTCGCCACCGGTGAACCCATCGTTTTTCACCTTTGAACTTCCGAAGAAAAAGCGGAAACAGCAGCCGTGGAGGAATACAAGAGAAAGCCATTTGCAGGAGACATTCGATATTGACGGAGGATTTAGAAAAAAAAAGAAAGAAAAAGAAGAAAAAAAAGGCATTGTGTTTTTGTGACGGAGAGACAGAAGGTCGCTTCAATAGAGAAACAGCCAAGGTGCAAGCAGGTGCGTCGGAAGGAGGGGAAGAAAGAAAACAGAGAAGTAAATGGAAAGGGAAGGGGGTTCTACCGCATATGTCTGTCTAGGAGTGAGTAGGGAAAGAAAGAAGCGAGCAAAAGAAAGAAAGAAAGAAAGAAAGAAAGAAAGAAAGAAAGAAAGAAAGAAAGGCTATCGTTTAGGTGTGGATAAGAGAGGGCGAAATGCGAGGAAGAAGGTAAGAGATGTATGGAAAGAAAGAAAGAAAGAAAGAAAGAAAGAAAGAAAGAAAGAAAGAAAGAAAGGCTATTGTTTAGGTGTGGATAAGAGAGGGCGAAATGGGAGGAAGAAGGTAAGAGATGTATGGAAAGAAAGAAAGAAAGAAAGAAAGAAAGAAAGAAAGAAAGAAAGAAAGACAGAAAGAAAGAATGAAAGACGATTGTTTAGGTGTGGGTAAGAGGGGGTGAAATGCGAGGAAGAAGGTAAGAGATGTATGTAAAAGAAAGAAAGAAAGAAAGAAAGAAAGAAAGAAAGAAAGAAAGAAAGAAAGAAAGAAAGAAAGACTACAGAAAGAAAGGGGGAGAGGGTGAAATGTTTAGGGAAGAAGGTAAGAGATGTATGTAAAAAGAAAGAAAGAAAGAAAGAAAGAAAGAAAGAAAGAAAGAAAGAAAGAAAGAAAGAAAGAAAGAAAGAAAGAAAGAAAGAAAGACTATTGTTTAGGTGTGGGTAAGAGGGGGTGAAATGCGAGGAAGAAGGTAAGAGATGTATGTAAAAGAAAGAAAGAAAGAAAGAAAGAAAGAAAGAAAGAAAGAAAGACTATTGTTTAGGTGTGGGTAAGAGGGGGCGAAATGCGAGGAAGAAGGTAAGAGATGTATGTAAAAGAAAGAAAGAAAGAAAGAAAAAGAAAGAAAGAAAGCAAAAAAAAAAAGAAAGAAAGAAAGAAAGAAAAGAAAGGAAGAAAAGACTATTAGGTGGAGGGGTGGGTAAGAGGGGGTGGAATGCGAGGAAGAAGGTAAGAGATGTATGCGTAAAAAGAAAGAAAAAAGAAAAAGAAAGAAAGAAAGAAAAAAAGAAAGCAAGCAAAGAAAGAAAGAAAAAAAAGAAAAAAAAAGAAAGAAAAAGGAGAAAGACTATTGTTTAGGGGTGTGGGTAAGAGGGGCGAAGGAAGAAGAAGAGATGAGAAAGAAAGAAAGAAAAGAAAGAAAGAAAGAAAAAGAAAAGAAAAGAAAGACTATTGTTTAGGTGAAATGCGAGGAAGAAGGTAAGAGATGTATGTAAAAGAAAGAAAGAAAGAAAGCAAGAAAGAAAGAAAGAAAGAAAGAAAGAAAGGAAGGAGGAAAGACTATTGTTTAGGTGTGGGTAAGAGGGGGTGAAATGCGAGGAAGAAGGTAAGAGATGTATGTAAAAGAAAGAAAGAAAGAAAGAAAAAAGCAAGCAAGAAAGAAAGAAAGAAAGAAAGAAAGAAAGAAAGGAAGGAGGAAAGACTATTGTTTAGGTGTGGGTAAGAGGGGGCGAAATGCGAGGAAGAAGGTAAGAGATGTATGTAAAAGAAAGAAAGAAAGAAAGAAAGAAAGAAAGAAAGAAAGAAAGGGGGTGAAAAGGAAGAAGGTAAGAGATAAAAGAAAGAAAAGAAAGAAAGAAAGAAAGCAAGAAAGAAAGAAAAAGAAAGAAAGGAAGGAGGAAAAGACTATTGTTTAGGGGGTAAGGGGGAACGAAATGCGGTAAAAGAAGAAGAAGAAAGAAAGCAAAAGAAAGAAAAGAAAAAAAGAAGGAGGAAAGAAAGTTTAAAGAGGGGTGAAAGCATGAGATGTAGGGAAGGAAAGAAAGAAAGAAAGAAGAAAGAAAGAAAGAAAGAAAGAAAGAAAGAAGGAAAGAGGAACTATCGTTTAGGGGGGTAAGGAAATGGGGGAATGTACGTGAAAGGAAGAAAGGAAAGAAAGAAAGACTACAAAAAAATGAAAGAAGAGAAGAAAAAGAAAGAAAGAAAGAAAGAAAGAAAGAAAGAAAGAAAGAAAGAAAGGAAAGGAAGGAAGGAAAAGACTATTGTTTAGGGGGTGGGGTAAGAGGGTGAAATGCGAGGAAGAAGGTAAGAGATGTAGGTAAAAAAGAAAAAAAGAAAGAAAGAAAGAAAGAAAAGAGAAAGAAAAAAGAAAAGGAAAGACTATTGTTTAGGTGTGGGTAAGAGGGGGTGAAATGCGAGGAAGAAGGTAAGAGATGTATGTAAAAGAAAGAAAGAAAGAAAGAAAGAAAAGAAAGAAAGAAAGAAAGAAAAGAAAGAAAAGAAAGAAAGAAAGAAAGAAAAAAGGAAGGAGGAAAGACTATTGTTTAGGTGGGTAAGGGTGAAATGAGGGAAGAAGGGTAAGAGATGTAAGGTAAAAGAAAAAGAAAGAAAGAAAGAAAGAAAGCAAAGAAAGAAAGAAAGAAAAAGAAAGAAAGAAAGGAAGAAGGAAAGACTATTGTTTAGGTGTGGGGAAGAGGGGTGAAAATGCGAGGAAGAAGAAAGAGTAAAAAGATGTTTAAGTAAAAAAGAAAAAGAAAGAAAGAAAGAAAGAAAGAAAGAAAGAAAGAAAGAAAGAAAGAAAGAAAGAAAGAAAGAAAGGAAGGAAGGAGGAAAGACTATTGTTTAGGTGGGTAAAAAAGGGGAGGAAGGTATGAGATGAAGAAAAGGTAAGAAAGAAAGAAAATGTTAGGAAGAAAAAAGAAAGAAAAGCGCTATTATTTAGGTGTGGGTAAGAAAAAAGAAGGAAGAGAAAAAGAGAAAGAAAGAAAGAAAAGAAAGAAAGAAAAGAAAAGAAAGGAAGAAAGACTATTGTTTAGGTGTGGGTAAGAGGGGGAAAATGTATGAGGAAGAAGGTAAGAGATGTAAGAAAAAGAAAAAAAGAAAGAAAGAAAGAAGGTAAAGAAAGAAAGAAAGAAAGAAAGAAAGCAAAAAAAAAGAAAGAAAGAAAGAAAGGAAAGGAAGGAAAGACTATTGTTTAGG